ATGAATCCCATCATTACATAAAATTATAATTCACCAATTTGAAAAGTGGAAAAAACATACAAAAAATTAAAGATTCCCCACTTTGGAAAGGAAAAGAGCAAACACCTGGCTAAAAGGTTTTGAAATGAGCATACTATAAGCAAGGACTTACATGCCTTGTATATGATATGCCCTATTCCCTACTATGAGCAGGCATATGTATACAACATCTTTATTTGCAAGATTAACTGAGATTGCCAGGTGTGGTGGCCTAAATCCTAGCTACTGGGGAGGCTGAAAGAGGAAGATTGAAAGTTCAAGACCAGGCTGAGCAACTTAGGGAGACCCTGTCTCAAAATAAAATAAAAAGGGCTTGCCAGGCATGGCAGAGTGTGTCTGTAATTCCAGCTACTCAGGAGGTTGAGGCAAGAGGATTCCAAAGTATAGGTCAGTCCTGGCAATTTAGTAAGCCCCTGTCTTAAAAAAAAAAAAAAAAAAAAACAACTAAAAAAGGCAGGGAATATAGCTCAGTGGAAGACCCTGGGCAAAGGAAGAATAAAACAAAATACTGCAACTCAATCACCCAATGGAGTATATATCTCACATCATAAGTGAAACACCAGCTTTATATATACCTCCTGTTTCTCTCAATTTATGAAGGTTCATTATCTCCAGATTTACACATAAACGTGAGCAGTTAAATCATTAACTCCCCCATTTTCCTTTTTACAAATTAGACAATAAAAAATGCCTCCTGCTGTATAACCAATGTGATCCTGCAATCTGTACACATGGAAAAATGAGATTACGTACCCCATTTGAATCAAATGTATGATGTCAAAATCATTGTAATGTCTTGAGAAACTAATAAAAAAATATTAAAAATAAATAAATAAAATAAAAAATGCCTCCTAAGTGGGAGAAACTTGGAATATAATGATATCATTGAACAAAGACATTTGTATGCACTCAGGACTCTAAAATGTCAACGCAGTAACATTTATCTAGGCCATGGAAAATATTTCCTTCAAAATCAGAAAGTGCTTAAGTAAAATGGCTGCTACTCAGTTTTCAGATTTTGCATTCCCTAAAGCACTCTTTATACTTTTCTACTTTTTCATAAAAGATCTGATAGCAGGAATATTCCACTGCATTCCATGTGCAATCAGCTATAATCCCTGTGAGCAGCAATACAGGCCAGTTTGCCAGCACAGCAGCCTTTTAATGAAGCTAACACACATGGCTACAGCATACTCATTTCATCTCATTTTTGCAAGAATGTATGCACTCTCCCCATCTAAACCCACCACTTAACCATTAATATTCCAAACATCCACTACACTGGTATATTAGGTTAAATCCTATTCATTCCTCAAGGTTCAGCTTAACCACTATTTTTCATCAACGACTCCTTGCATTTACTCTTTTCCAAACTCACACTTCTACTTTTTAAAAACACTTTTTTAATGGCAATTATCATTTGATCACTTTCATTCTATATTAGTTATTTGTGTATATCTTGGTATCTCCTATCACAAACTTTAAGGACGCCATAAAAAGGTAGGGTCCAATGATGCATTAGTCTCTCCAACTACTATACACTCATTTTACAGCAGACTCTCAAAAAGGTAAAAGGGAAAGAAAGGAAGGGCAAGGCAGAGCAGAGCCATTAGTCCAGTTTTGAACAATATGTGTTAAAAGAAATCATTAGCAGTTCAGCATGTGCTTGAGGTGGTCCAGAGATGGGTTTTCAAATACTAGTATAGCACTAGTATATTTCACATACTAGTATTCTCTAACTGAATATTTACTTTGTGTTCAAAATGAACCCCATTATTATGTATAAATACAATGCAATAATTTTAAAAGATTGGGAACCCAGACATTTCATCTATAATATTTAATCAAAAGATATATCAAGGGCTGGGGATGTGGCTCAAACGGTAGCTCGCTCGCCTGGCATGCGTGCAGCCCAGGTTCAATCCTCAGCACCACAAAGAAAGAAAGATGTGTCTGCGGAGAACTAAAAAATAAATATTAAAAAATTCTCTCTCTTTAAAAAAAAAAGATATATCAATATTTTTAATAATTCTGGAGATTTTTGTGGGAGATAAGTCAAAATGGGTGAGTAGAATTTATATCCCAACCAATTCTAAAATTTTATAGACCTATTCTCAAAAGATTTAACTAAAAATCTTATTTCCTTCTTCAATTTGCTTTCGACACAAATTAAAACATCTGAAATTCTTCCAGACTGAATATCACATTTGGATGATTTTACTTTATCCTCTAAACTGAATTCATTTTTTTTAAGAGAGAGAAAGAGAGAATTTAATATTTATTTTTTCATTTTTGGCAGACACAACATCTTTGTTTGTATGTGGTGCTGAGGATCGAACTCGGGCCACACGCATGCCAGACGAGCGCGCTACCGCTTAAGCCACATCCCCAGCCCCTGACTTCATTTTTAATACAATTAAAATAATAAAGTCAAATAGTGAGTTGCCTAGCCTAGATACGAGACCTAACTCCTTCTTGATTAGCCATCAACAATCTCTTAGGGCTGGGGATATGGGTCAATCATGGAGTACTTGCCTTGCATGCTTGAAACCCTGGGCTCCATCCCCAGTACCAAAAATATAATTATAATCATAATCTCTTAGTAAGGTTTCTTTTTTTCTCCCAGTACTGGGGATTGAATCCAGAATTTCATGCATGCTAGGCAAGCTACATCCCCGGTCCATTTTAGTGAGTTTTAATCCATACTAGCAAAATCAGAAAACAAGCAAACCCACATTTATTTCTCTACAGAAAAACTTTACAAGAGTTTAAACATGGTTTGTCTTCAACAAAACTCTGACTGAAGCCTGAGTCCCCAATGTAACAATATTGAGAGGCAGGAGGCACATGCCTGTAATCCCAGTGACTTGGGAGGCTGAGGCAGGAGGATCACAGCTTCAAGGCCAGGCTCAGTAACTCACCGAGGCCCTAAACAACTTAGCAAGACCTTGTCTCAAAATAAAAAACAAAAAAGGATGGCAATGTGTCACCATACCTGGCTAGACTACTATTTTTGAATCTTTTCCTTTTCTTTTCTCTTTCTTTCTTTCTTTTTCTGAGATAGGATCTTGCTATGTTGCCCAGCCTGGCCTTGAACTCCTGGACACAAGCAATCCTCCTGCATCAGCTTCCTGTGTAGCTGGGACTATAAGTACACACCACCACACCCATGACTTGAATCTTTATTTAAAAACCAGTTTTAAACTTGGAATGGAACCATCACTTGATCCAGTCATCCCACTCCTAGGTTTATACCCACAGGACATACAATCAGCATACTACAGTGACACAGCCACATCAATGTTTATAGCAGCTCAATTCACAATAGTCAAATTATGGAATCAACCTAGATGCCCTTCAATAGATGAATGGATTTAAAAAAACTGTAGTATATACATGCAATGGAACATTACTCAGCCTTAAAGAAGAATGAAATTAGCCGGTAAATGGATGGAAATGGAGAACATTATGCTAAGCAAAATAAGCCAATCCCAAAGAACCAAGGGCCAAATGTTTTCTCTGATATGCGGAAGCCAATGGGGGGAGGGTGTCGTCAAATTAGGGGGGGATATTGGAGTAGGAATGATAGTAGAATGAATCAAACATTATTACCCTGTACATACATAATTACATGACCTGTTTAACTCTACATCATGTACAATCAGACAAATGAGAAGTTATACTGCATTTATCAATGAAATACTTTAAGTTCTATATTAACTATCCTGAAATGTGGGCTGCAATATCTAGCTGGCTTTTATGGAACAAATATTGACCACCAGCAGACAGATGAGGTCAAAATGGTTACTTTAGAATTTTGTCTGAAAGATCAATGATTCTTCTCTATTGCAAAAATTATAGATTTAAAGATAGAAGAGCCTGCCTGTATTTTAAATAATAAATTTTTTGCCCACAGACCCAAGTCACATTACATTCTTTCTTTCTTTTTTCTTTTCTTTTTTTTTTTTTTTTTTTTTTTTGGTAGCAAGGACTGCTTTACCACTGAGCCATATCCCCAGCCTACCTGCCCCCTTTTTAAAAATTTCTTTATAAATAAATGTTTGTGGAAATAAATATGTTTAACCTTATTTAAACGTTACTGAAGAAGGCCAAGCACAGTGGCATATGCCCATGACCCAGCGACTCTGGAGGCTGAAGCAGGAGGATTGCAAGTTTGAAGCCAATCTCAGAAACTTTTTTTTTTGTTACCAGAGACTAAACTCAGGGGCACTCAACCACTGAGCCACATCCCCAGCCCTTTTTTATATTTTATTTAGAGAAAGGGTCTCACTGAGTTGCTTAGATCCTTGATAAGTTGCTGAGGATGGCTTTGAATTCATGATCCTCTGGTCTAAGGCTCTCTAGCTGCTGAGATTACAGGCATGTGTTACCACGCCCATTTAGGAAGATAAATTTTAAGACCATCTTGGCAAGTTCAAATGCTATTTAAAATAGAGAAAGAAGGGCTGGGGATGTGGCTCAAGCAATAGCACGCTCGCCTGGCATGCATGCGGCCCGGGTTCAATCCTCAGCACCACATACAAACAAAGATGTTGTATCCGCCGAGAACTGAAAAATAAATATTAAAAAATTCTCTCTCTCTCTCTCTCTCTCTCTCTCTCTCTCTCTCTCTCTCTCGACTTTCATAGCTATTTTATGTCATGATTTAATAAAATTTCTGCTTACATCTTTACTGTCATTAAGATGTCAACTACTTAGAAGGCATTAATAATAGCTAAATCAGTTCATTTATTCATGGTTTCCAATTATAAAGAGCAAAATACACAGTCCACATTTAAGTACTGCAGCAAATATCTCAGAGGAGGAAGCAATGAATGGATCATTCAGAATGGCAAAGTTCAAAGTGTTAACATACAAATGTTCATTTATTCTGATCACAGAAAGAAGGGCAGGGAGGGAGGTGAAGAAGGTGAGATACAGAACTGAGAATATGCACTCACTGGTCGAGTTGCCTTGCATCTGAATGATGCACTTGGACTCCTTGCTGGTCTCTCGAGAATTGAAGGGCCTCACACGGACAGCAACCTTCACTGAGGCTCCCGACATTCTGATGGCCTTTGTAATGTATATGCAGTCCAGAAATAAAGTATCAAATCTTCTTTTGAAGTTATGTTCAAGTTTCCTTTAAAAAGAAAAAGGTTCCATACAAGATAGTCAAAATTAAAGGAAACACAAGCAAACTGAAGCCTAAGAGTTCTACTTATTTTCACTTCTAGAAATCTCATTCCCTTTCTCCCCCGACAAGTCATATAGCTAGTAGTAAATTATCAAATATTGAAGAAAGAAATTTGGTTTCCTACTCTATTATCTCCTTCTCATATCTAAAAAAAAAAAAGTCCCTAAACTTTTAAAACTCTAAAACAACAACAACAAAAAAAAAAAACAGGCATCTATCTTGCTTTCTGTATTTCTGGATCAATCTTCAAAGGTAAATGAAAAATTTACAATGTTTATTTGTTAAAAGAGTTCCTTGAACAGCTAACTTCCCATCTGCAAACCCCCTATTTCCTTTCTTTAAAGAAATGTATTGAATTTTATACTTTTAATTACAGTTTGAACCATTTGGTTATACCATGTGTAATTAAACAGCAAAGGACAGAGATAAGTTTGTGCTGGCTCCTTTAATTACCCCTATGCAGTGATTAACTTGGAAGTTCCTTGGCATGCATCCCATTTGACCTGCAGGAGCACTCTACACAATAAGCAGAGAAGATTCCCACAGACTCAGGTCCTACACTTCAGATGTGCCAGGGACTCGTGGCAGAATGTAGTGAAATCACTACATTTCACTACTAAAAGAAGCCAGAAAAAAAATATATTAATATTTTCTGAGGAATAATTCCCATCCCAACAGAACAATATCAACACTCTTCAGTGAAAAAAAAAAAAAAAAGTATGTAATCTCCACAAGAAGCAACCTCTCTCTCTCTCTAGTCAGGAAGAATTCTACACTCTATTCATTACTCTATTAATATTCACGAATAAAATGAAATGGGAAAAGTTAAAAAAGAAAAGTATTTATGAGTCCAATTATCAGGGAACCCAACCAGTATTTAAATCTGACTAATTTTTTTCCACATAATTAAACAGTTTAGAAATACTAACCTTCAGTGGCACAACACTACCAATGTTTTCCCCAGGAAAAGGCAAAAAATAAAACCCGAGTCACTCTCTACCTCAGTGCACTAATTCTCCTAGCAGTAGTATCAATGTCCATCTCTCAGGCCATACCAAAGTATTCAGAGATCTCCTGTCCTATGTGCTAGCAGTTAGAACAGTACCTGTTTGAAGAGCTCAGTGTTTGTTGAACAAATAAATTAATGAACTGGATTACCGAGCTGTGGGAATCATCTGTTTGAGTCTTTGCCTATTTGCTGATTTTTGGTTTTGCTTTAAATGATCACAATATTTTTAATACTAATATTTTTATATATGTTGCAATGTTTTTTCCAATCTGTTTTTCATTTCACTTTATATGGAACTAATAGTACTTTATTTAACATATCAAATATTTTTGTGATTGCATTTATCAAATGAAAACTTTGGGAATTATTATACCCTCCAATTGATATAGTATATCTTGTATTCACCAGTTAAATACCATGCCAAAAAGATGATGCATTCTGATAAAACATGATATCAAACACATTTCAACCTCCTAGAGTTTCCTTTAATATATAACTATCATCTCAACTTTCATCATGTCCATATCTTCTTTCCCAAACTAATAATTTTTCAATCTTCCCATTTCTGCCAACATCATTCTCCCAGGCCCCATTATTTAAGTTCTGGGGTCATCTTTGTTTTCTTCTCTTAGAATCCTTGTATTAGGGGGCTGGGATGTGGCTCAAGCGGTAGCGAGCTCGCCTGGCATGCGTGCGGCCCGGGTTCGATCCTCAGCACCACATACAAACAAAGATGTTGTGTCCGCCAAATACTAAAAAATAAATATTAAAAAATTCTCTCTCGCTCTACCTCTATCTCTCTCACTCTCTCTTTAAAAAAAAAAAAAAAAGAATCCTTGTATTAGTATTGACATTATTCATGACAAACCACAGGAAAACTTTTCAGACAGAAATTTGCATTGTTGTGGTCCCTCCTACCTCTTCTCCTCATTGCCTTCCCCTCCCTAATCCATGGACTCACTACCACATGTCTAGAATACTTGAAACAGATGAACTCTTCTTTGAATTTTAGTCTTTGACTCAATAGAATCAAACAGAGTTACACAAAACAAAATCACACAGCAGTCTTTTGAAAAGCAAATGAGCCTAGACTCCCCCCTCCATGAATTAAAAGGGGAAAAACTAGATTTAAAAAGATGCTACTGCTTAATCTATTTATAAAAGTAAACACAAATTGTCTCTGGAAGCAAATCTAATACAAGTTGCTTATCTAATACAAAACTTTAAAGATAGGATCCTGACATTAGGGTTTTTGCTTTGTTTTATCTTTCAAAGATTATGTTGTAGATCCCTACACAAAAACCACTGCTTTAAACTACTGCTAAACCATGTTAGAAGATCAACCTTTCTAAAGTATGACTCTCCCTGTCGCTCTCAATTGTGAGAACATTCTCATATTCCCCTGTGCTTCCAAAATCAAGACCAAAGTGAAGATACTCTGTTCTAGCCAAGCTCCTTCACTATCCCACAAACACCTCCTATTTCTGCCCAACAATGGGCATACCGGTTTTCTCTCTCTTTTTTTTTTTTTTTTCTCTCTCTCTCTCTCTCACCCAGTCTCATCTCTTCCAAAATACCTAACCCAAACATTCTAGGAATCAATCAATGGTTCCTACACTTCAAACACTGGAACACACTGTGAGACACTGCTATCGTTTTACATAACTGCATTCTATCTTGCACTATTCCTTTTATTTTTGGTATCACAGATTGAACCCAGTAGGACTTAACCAATGAGCCACATTTTCAGCCCATTTTTTTAATTTTTAATTTTGAGAAAGGGTCTCCCTAAGTTGCTAAGGCTGGCTTTGAACTTGTGATCCTCCTGCCTCAGCCTTTCAAGCCACTGGAATTACAGGCATGCACCACTACACCTGTATTTTTAATAGCTTCTTAAGGTGAAAATTTTATTTCTTAAAAAAATCTCCTTGAACTTGCACTCCTTGAAAATTTCAAGTCTGGGCAAGAAATTTCAAGGAAATCCTAGAACATTTTGTGTGCCCAAGAGCAAGATCCTCTCAAAGATGAATGGATCATGTCCAAAGGACAGGGGTGCCAGCCTAAAGGAGCTCTCACTGACCAAACCGGATAATTAAAGCATTAAAAAAAGAAGAAGAAGAAGAAGAAACTGCAAGGAAAACATCAAATACATGAAGTTATGAGTTTATAATGACACTTTAGAAAATCTCAAATTATCGATTGGGGTATGGGGTATGTAGCATGCATGAGGTCCTGGGTCTGACCCTTTGAACCACCAAAGAAAAAAAATAATAAAGAAAAATCTCAATATTTTGAAAAACTAGCAAAATATAAAATATCCCAGGATAAACTATAATAGTCAGTGAGGGTAGGTTTTTTATTTTTAATACCTTTTTTTAAAATTTATTTTATCTATTTATTTTTAAAAGCTTGCTTGCTTGCTTTAATATTTTTGCAGTTATAGATGGACACAATATCTTTATTTTGTTTGTTTATTGTATGTGGTGCCAGGGATCGAACCCAGTGCCTCACACGTGCTAGTGCTCTACCACTGACCCTCAACCCTGGCCCAAGGGTAGGTTCTTTACAGAAAAATTCTAGCTAATAAATGGAAAAGATATTACCTAGAATATCACTACTGATATAAAGGCTTTCTGACACAATACCACTGGCTGTTAAAATGCATTGCATGTAAGGATGGTTGGTGGGAGAAGCTGAGAATACTCAAACCAAATGATCAGTTTTGTGTATATAATGTGCATTCACCTATGCTAGGGATTGAACCCAGGGCTTCATGCATGCTAGGAAGTGCTCTACCACTGAGCTACATCCCCAGGCCTTTTAAAATTTTGAGACAGTGTCTCACTGATTTTCCCAGACTGACCCTCAAACTTGCAATCCTTCTGACTCAATCTCCTGAATAGCTGGAATTACAAGACATGCACCACCATGTCCCACTCAGTTGATCAGTCTCAACACCACTAGAAGTAGGACACCAAGGTCATATAGCCCCTCTTGATGGACTACACAGAAATACACAGCACCACCTAGGAAGTATTCTTGCCCCATTCCCTCCTTGCCCCACTCCCTTAGAAAGAAACTGTAACAGGGCTAGAGTTGTGAATCAGTGGTAGAGCACTTGCCTAGCATGTATGAGGCACTGGGTTTGAGTCTCAGCACCACATATAAGTAAGTGAATAAAATAAAGAAAAAAATAATAAAGAAAAATCTCAATATTCTGAAAACTAGCAAAATATAAAATATACATAAAAAAAATGAAGTTATAACAGAATGAAATCTTAGATCTAACTATCAGTTCACCAGATATATAGGGAGCAAAGAGGCAATTCAGATGAGGTGCCAAAGATACAATCAGCCAAATTCAAAATGTGGGAAAATCTACAGACCAAGATGCCCTGTTTAATCCAATAAACAGCATAACTTGGGAGGAAGCGTTATAAAAGAAGCTTGCATTATCAACCATATGCAAATATTTTTTTCAGTCAAGAAAATCTATAGAAACTAATTTTTAAAAATAATCAGGAATAGAAAAGCCAGATGCAGTGGTGCCGCCTATAATCCCAGCTGCTCAGGAGGCTGAGGTAGGAGCATTCCAAGTTCAAAGCCAGCCTCAGCAATTTAGCGAGGTCCTAAGCCATTTAGTGAGGGAGGCCCTGCCCCAAAGGGCTGGCAACATGGCTCAGTGGTAAAGCACCCTAGGATCAATCCCCAGTACCAAAAAAATTTTAAAAATTTAAAAAATAATCAGGAATAGAAAAAGCAAGATTGCCAAAGAGCCGACAGTTATTAAATACTATAGGTATTTAAATTAATTTATGTATGTGTATGTGTGTTCTACCCAGGGCCCACTGGAGTGTTGAATACTTCTGACTTAACAAACAAGACAGCCCTGGCTAAATCCTCTTTTTACTGTGCTTCTGATATAAGGTATAAGGTA